AAATGACTACAATAATGACAAATGACATGGATTGTCCAACCACAAAAATCCATGGTAAATGACTATAATAATGACAAATGACCTAAAGTGTCAAATGACTAAGTGATGGTACTCTAAATAATGTCTCACTTGCATGCAAGTCTAGCTACATTGTATGTAGATTTTATGAGTGAGCACATTATCCTAGATATGACTTAAGAGGTCCACCTCCGTATTATTTGGCATATTGGACTTCTTTACGAGCAATGTTTGGCATACGTGCCTTCTTTGCTTGGAAACTCTCCTAAGATGACAATGTGAGACACTTCTTACTTTATGACTTGTGAGGTTGGACACATGATAATGAATTGGGAATGGTTACAAGTATATTGTGTTACATCCACTCTTTTTATGACTAAATTGGTAGTATTTTGATTATGACTACAATGACTATATTCTGATTGTGACTACAATGATGATATTTTTATTATGACTAAAAGATAGATAATGACTATGACATTTGAAATAAAATTTGGGATTATTGACTACCAATGACTAATAACGTAATAGTTTTCAATTAAGTAAAGACTATTCTATTTGTGTATGACTAAACTTATTTTTGTCAAGATTTTGGAGAGTCTCATTGGTCAGTGATTGTGTCAATTTCTTTGACTTAAAAGATGACGAATCCTTATATTACTCACAAGGCATTTACGATGTCCAACCTATATTTTGACATGTATTCATGTGAAAATAGTAAAAGAAAATTAAAAGACCATGGATAATTAAAAATGTCACATTAAATGCATTTGTTCTCTTGAATTTGAAGTTATGAAAACTTAAAGATTTTTTTTTAACTATGGATTGTTTTAATGTTTTTGTTTTTAAGACTATGGGATCGTATTTTTCCGCAAATGATGATTTTAAAACAATAAAAAGATTTTAAGTTGATTTAAATATTAAATTTAAAAGAGGGCTATTTCATTGTAATATAGTAAATACATAGAAATGTATAACATTGATTATCAATAAAAGATCACTGTAGTGTAGTTTTTGTATATGAACGTAACTTGATTACTCCGACTAAATGAACAATGTTAAATCATTGTTTTCTTGTTATTGTTCTTAGGCCAAGAGGAATGGTCATGGGTGATTTGTGAGTGAAGGTGAGGCCATGTAGGTATTTTACCATTTCACAACCAACTCACTAGGTTGTGGAAATGGTGTTTACCAGTGGGTTGGTAGTGAAGGGGCAAAAAGAAAGAGAGAGAAATAGAGAAAATATGAGGGACCAAATTCATAACCAATCAAATGCATCGTCTTCATCCGTCCTAGCACTCACCTCACACCCAACCCACTGACTGTAGGGGCGGTGTTCACACGTCTCCTGGGGTGCCACCTGGGATTCTCACGTGTGGAATTCATTCCACTCCGGTTAGCCTTAGCATCTTTATTATCGTGTCTCGTGTATTTATCGAAGTGCTTAGTCCCTAAAATGTTCATTTGAAAGAAAGTAATAATGAGCGAAAATGAAACGAGGTAAACAAAAAGGATGAGGAGAACTATATTGGTTTCAAGCTTTATTTTAGAAGAGTATGTTTCTAAAAGCTATTTAAGCCTTACCAATATTTGAAAGTTTTATCCATATGCGATGACAATAGAGAAAATCATTCATATGGGGCTAATGTCTGTCCTTGTTAGATGGAAGATGATGTTTGTTAGGAACTAGGAGTATACCTTTCTATAGTTGATGCAGAAAATTTATTATGCAAAAAATAATGGAGAAAAGCGGAGTGTCAATTTGTAAAGCCAAAAAACAAATGTTAAAGAACAATACTAAAAAATGTAAAACTCCTACAAAAAATTATGAAAGAAGTTGTTCTGTTTAGAAATAAATAAATAAATTTAAAGAACACAAAAAAAATAAAAATTTGGAACAAATTTGTTAACAATGTTTAGATGAATACATTAGAAATCATATTTTAATATATATATATATATATATATATATATATATATATATATATATATATATATATATAACCAGGAGTTGTAAAAATAATTTTCAAAAGAAGTAAAAAAAAATTTAAAAAAAAAAAGTTTACTTTGGAAAACAAAAAAAATATATAAACAAAGTTTGAATCAAAATTTTAAAATACACTAAAAGTTAGGATAAAATTAAAATAAAATAAAATAAGATGAGGAAAAATTATAATATTTTTTTACCAAATTTGTAAAAGAAAGTATAAATTGAGTCAAATTTAAAAATAAATAAATAAATAAATAAAAGCTAGGCGAAAAATACAACACATTTCTACAAAAACATTTCCAAGAGAGTGACAGGGGATGGGATCATGCCTGGTCCCTCCCAAGACATGGTATATGGTAAGCTGCAAACCAATAGGCTAGATCTTAACTACATTCAAATATTCTATCTTCATCTTTTTATATAAACATAAAGATATTGTGGCTTGATATGACATTAACTACAATATTTAAACTTGTCAAATGTCAAATGTGAAGTGTTGAAGATAGTATTCAACGAAGCATCATCACAAACATAATACATTATTGCTTTGAGATGTATTATATTTAGGGCCGTAAACAAATCGAATGTTCGGTGAACCGTTCGTGAACTGTTTTGCGATAAATTCGTTTATGTTCGTTTATTTAATAAATGAACGAATATGAGCACAAATTCTCGTTCGTTTAGTTAAACGAACGAAATGAACAATGGTCTCGTTCATTCATTTATGTTTGTGAACGTCTGTTTATATTGTTCGTTTAAGTTTATTTATGTTCAATTGTTTTTTATTACATTACTATATTATATATTTGTTTATTTTCATATAAGTTCAACTATGTTTGTTTATCTTTGTTCGTTTATGTTCGTTAACTTGTTCACGAACATGAACAATGTAATTTGTTGAACGAACAAACATGAACAAGAAAACTCGTTTGTTTATCCGTTTGTTTGTTCAGCTAACTTAAATGAACGAACATGAACAGACATTTGTCTGTGTTCGTTCGGTTCGTTTACGACCCTAATTACATCAATTTTTTAATTTGATATAAGTAATATCTTATTATCGATAATAAATACCATTTGGTTATTTTGAACAACATACATATATTAATATTTTAATACGGTAATTTTTATTTATGCACAACACAGAAACATATACGTATTTTGAATCAGTTAGTACATAATATAATATTACTTTATTTATACTGGAAATGAGTATTGATACTGAAATCAATTGTTAAGTCTGAAGACGTATTGGAAATTTGGAATGACTCTTCCATCTTTAACCAACCGATTCATGATGAGTTATTACTAACAACCCACTGCGTAAGATAAAAAACATGTATAGACATTATATTATTTAGGGCGGTCTCATAACAATTTGAGGCCCAAAGCAAAATAAAAAATGAAACCCTACGAGGAGGCCGGTCTAACAATATTTATAGTTCAAAGTAAAATTGAGCCCTTCAAATTACAAAATTTATGGAAGTTTGTTTGGATGGATTGAATTAATCCGATCCAATTAAATAAATTCAAATTTGAATTCAGCTTTCAAAACATGAATTTGAATTATTCAAATTAAATTCAAATCCGATTTGAACCAATAAAATTACAAAATGGTTTGACCGATTTTCATAGCCTATTTTTTAAGAGTTGGAACAATTTAATCTCTCTCTGTTTAATTCGATTTTTATCTAAATAGTAAAAAATCCTTAAAAAAATCATGACCAATACTTAGTTAAATTTTATATTAAAAACTCTATTTTTAAAGATGTGAACATATACATACTTTTTTTAAGCCGTATGTTATATAAATTATTGTTGTGTTATGAAACATAAACTTATACATCTACGGAATTCCAATTAAATTAAATTTTAAAATGTAAATATAATTATATAAATGAGATTTAGACTATGTTTGGCGTACTAGCTGTTAGCTGAAAAGGTAGCTGATAGCTGAAAAACTAATTGTTAAATAAAAAGCTAGTTGATAGCTGAAAAACTAGCTGATAAAAATTGACATTTGGTAAAACTAGCTGAAAGATATAAAATGACATTTAAAAGAATATGTTTCTAAAATTAATTAAGGAGTGTATTTGGAAATTTTAAAAAATCTCCTAAAAAGCTAGTGTAAGTAGTTTAAAAAAAAAACTAACTTATAAGCTACTTTTTGACTTGTCAAACATAACAACTTAAAAAAAGCTCGAAAAATAAATTAGCTTATCAGTTAGCTGTGATGCGCTAAACACAGTCTTAACCCTTTATCAGTGAGGTCGATGAGTTCGATCCACTTCCTTCCTATTATTTTTACGCAAGGAACGTAAGTCGAGGTTATCTGCCCATACCAACCAATTCTGCCTCATCCAACTTTTCTTTTTAATAATTTTGATTTGTTACAAACTCAATCCAAGTATATTTTTTTCACAATTTTTTCCTTTATTTTTTTACATCTTTGTATTTACATGTTTTCTAAAACTTTAATTTAGTTTTTCATAAAGTTACGTTTTTTATAATTTTTATTAAGATGATGTTTTAGAAAAACAGTTTTCACAAAATTATATTTTACAACTTTTTTATATATTTGTTTTGGTTTATGTTTATTTAAGATTCTTCCGTTTTTATAAATTAGTTTTTTTTTTTAATATTTGTTTTTATACATGTAGGGTTGTAAACATGTAGAAATTGTTTTTTTACATATTTGTTTTCACAGACCAGAAATATAATCTTATATAATTGGTAAATTATGTCTAATCAATTGCATATTACATAAATAATAAATTTTCCGCATAATCACAAAGAGCTACCTCTAGTTTAACATAAAACATATTGTTTCCATATAATGACATCAACAAAATGTTAACCTCCATCAATTTAATACCAACTAAATCTTCAGAAACGAAACTCCTAATTTCATAGAAGCATCTATTTACATGTATAAAAGATGGAAAATTAAGACTTCAAGCGATAAACTGTAACTATTTATTTAGAAGTCAAAGCTCGAATTAAAATTGACCCAGATATATTTTCTTCTTAAACTTCAAAATATTTCCTTAACAAATTTTCATCAATTATTTACAATTGCTACAAACTCAATTATAATTTATTTATTTTTTTCTAATTTGAGACAGACCTCTTACCAAGTCTTGAAATTAGTCGGTAGTTTTTTCATCAGCAGCAGGCCAAACAATTGTTTCCAAGAGTCTTTCCCTCATCAACTCCAAGTTTTCATCCGAAATTTCTTTGTATATTTCACCATGATCGCATTGCTACATACGTCACCATGTAATAATATAATAAATTATTATCTTTTTCTCCGTTAAACAATTAAAAAACAATTATATTACCTTAATCCATTTTCCATATAGGTGAAGACGCGTTATCATTACTCTTTCAGCAAGATCTTGATATTCCTAAAAAATAGAAAATTAATATCAACTTTTTACTTCCCACATGTTGAATATTCATCTCAAACTTGTTGAAATTTTTAGAAAATTACCTTTGCAAGAATCCGAAGAAATCGTTTCCCATCTGCAGGATCATTTTCAGCAATGAAACTGCAAATCAACTACTTGAAATTAATCAAATAAAACTTGAGAGATTTTCAGGAACAAAACATAACATATGATTATAGAAGAAGAAGAAACACTTGCTTGTGTAGCCAGATATATTGAGGAGGATTCATCTCATACAGTTGATAAAGAACAGTTCTAACTGCTTTCGCTGTGAAACAATTCCTTAATTCCTGCACCCAAATAACCGTTTTTTTTTTTTTTTTTTCTCACAAACTCCATTAATGTGTTTGTGTATATGTGTGTGAAAAAAGAAAAAAGAAGTACCAATTTAACGTCATTGAAGACCTCTTCATATTGCCCACCAAGCTCATTAACGATTGTTTTCCTAATCTTTTTTGAATTCTTGTGTTTTCTCATGCCCACTTGGTTTTTCTTCATTTTCAGACTACATTTAGACTCTAAAAACAATCCAAAACATGGGCATGATTTTGCATTTGCAGACACAGCCATACCCCCAATCATGGTGTTTCAACGCTTCAAAGCTATATTATGAATAATAATTCTGATTTATATATACATAAAGAAGATAAAAAAAAAATGGTATCTTCTTTGTCTTGTTCTCAGATTCTAAGGTCCAAATTGATTCAGATAAAATATCTTTAATCTATCAACTCAAGTAATAAATAACCACATATATGATATAATATATCCCGTGACTTGTGAGAGTGTATTACAAATAATAAAACTGGAAATTACAATTCCAAAAGTTTCCCAATTACAAATTCCAACAAGCATACAAAATTGTAAAAAAAATAAATATGTATCGAGTGTCTTGAATAAAATAAAATAAAAAATACTAGTAGTAAAAGTGTAATTTAACAATTAATTCCACAATAAGTGACATCAGGGCCAGTAACTTTAGTGGTAAAGGGATCAATTCGGACCCAAAGGAGAGAGAAAATGGAAGCAAGAAGAATAGACCACACAACAACAATGGTGGGCGTGCGATTTTGTTTCCCCATAAGACCCTTGAGGAAGGGGTAAAGATGTACAATCACCCAAAACGCAAAGAAAAGTTTCCCAAAAAGTGGACCCCACGACTGGTACCCACTGTTGATGGCGTAAGATATTCCGGCCACCACTCCGACCAAGTTCACGATTAGGAGAGTCGTCGGTGGGATTAAAAGCGTCGTCCATTTGAACAAGTACAGCTCAGCAAAATCACCATCTTCATCTGACGCCTTTGATGTCACTGTGAAATTAGTGTCGATACCTGCAAGTACTTTTAGCAAACCTTGAAACACTGCAAAAAGATGGGCGGAGACACCTCCGATAACCCAAAACTGCTCGTTCCTCCACCACTCATCAATTCCAACACCACTCCACCTCATTTCAAGAATACCGGTGGCAAAGATGGAAAGAAAGAGGGATATAAACCATAAACTCGCAAGGTTACTGATCTGCAAACAAATCAAACATCAAAGAATTAATCTCTGTGGCATTTCATCAAACACGTTGTGTGCACATCATGTAAGTGTCGAATTCGTTTACCTGTGGGATGATGAACTTTCCGGTGAGAAGACAGACAGCGGGAAGAGTACAGTAGATGAGAAGAGGGATGGAAGTGATGGGGTAGATGGTGGTGTTGATGTAGGCAAATCTTTCGAGCCATTTGAGTCTTCCATTATATCCGTACCATATAGGACAATGTCTGCTGAAAAGAATTTCCACCGATCCCAAAGCCCACCGGAGCACTTGGTTTAAACGATCGGAAAGATTGATAGGGGCGGAACCCTTGAAGGCTGCCCGAGGTGGCATGCAGTATATCGACCGCCATCCACGTGCATGCATCTTAAATCCCGTCAGAATATCTTCCGTCACCGATCCATAAATCCATCCTATCTGCACATTATCAACAGTTTCCACAATTGAAAATCGCGTTTTTTTGGAATAATCAATAAGTATATGATTTTTTATTTTTTACCTCAGCTCCCCAATCTGTTTTGTCTTCATAACCACAACTGATGACATGAATCGCTTCTTTTAGGAGAGTTTCAGGTGCTGCAGATTGAGGGACGCCTCCATTTTCCATAAGTGTAGATGCAACAAACACAGCCGATTGTCCAAATCTTTTTTCAAGCGACATTTGTGACATAAGCAATGATTTCTCATCATCAAATCCAGCACCTGAATATATATATATATATATATATATATATATATATATATATATATATATATATATAATGAATCAAATCAAGAAAATGGAAAAACTATATATATAAGATGATCATACAATATACATACCTTCAACCCCTTCTTCTATATCTTCCAGGTTGAAAATTGGCACAGTGGGGTCAACGTTTTTGTTTGACTTCTTTTTATCTGATCCCTTTTTGCTTGATTTGGAACTCTTCTTTCGCGATCCACCAAAGCAAGAAGAAAAGAAGCCATCTTCTCTCTTCTTCTTAGGCTTAAGTGGAGGTTCATAACCATATAAAGCTGTTCTATTGAACACACATCCAGTTCCCACATAAACTGGACCTTGAATCCCATCTAAACCTCTCAAGTTAATCTGTTCATCAAACAAATTAAAAACAATCAATCAAATGCAGAAATATAGATTAACTGATTAACAAGATTAAAAAAGATGAAAGAACTCACATCAAAGAACACTGTGTTTCTGTTAGCATATCGATCGTTTCTATCAATACCATCAAACCTCTGTGGAAACTGTACATAACATACGTATTTTCCAAGATTTGGATCCATCATAAAACACATAGCTTCTCTAATAGCCTTACTGTTGTTGATGTAATGATCACAATCAAGATTCAACAAAAACGGGCCATTTGTAAGAACTGCAGAGACTCGAACCTGCAATTAACAAGATTCAAATCCATCTATATAAGTCATACATATGTCAAAAAGATTAAAACTTGAATTGAATTTGTGTAAAATTACGCACAAGGGAATTCATGGCACCAGCTTTCTTGTGATGTTGAAAACCTGGACGCTTTTCTCTTGAAACATAAACTAATCTTGGCAACTCATTACCCTCACTATCAAGCCCTCCATTTTGACCCAAGAAAACCTGAAGAAAAAAAAAAAGTATATTTATAACTTAATTAGACCTGAATTATCCCAAAAAAAAGTAAAGATGATTAAAGAGATTAATTAACCTGAATCATTCCTGGATGATCCCTTGTGTTATTTCCAGGCCAAGGTGTTCCATCCTGCATAATCCAACCTTCATCAGGGACTTTCTGAGCTTTTGCAACAAGACCATTTACACGAATTTTAAACTCTTCATATTCTCTCTTCATAGCTCTTCTATCTTTAACAAAAGTTGGTTGAATTTTATCTTTCAAGTAGTCAATCTTCTGGTTGAAATACCATTCAGGAGCACGTGGCTCAATGTTGTATTTCTTGCAGAAAGGAACCCATTTTCTTGCAAACTCAGATGTTTCAGATAGTGACTCAAACGACAGCATGGCAGCCCCGTCATCAGACACGTAACATGACACCTTGTCAACCGGGTAGTCAACCGCCAGGATGGACAACACGGTGTTGGCTGTGACAAGTGGCGGCTCCTTCAACGGGTCCACAGTACTCACAAATATGTCAACAGCAGCTAGTTGTGATGGCTCCCCTTCTCTCTCATACCTATCAAATATAATAATAAATTAATCCACATTAAAAAAAAAATTCTTTCTTTAAAAGGGTATCAAGATCACACATTCATACATTCATGTTACCTTAGGGATAGCCGATCAAGATATGTTTCACGATTAATTGGAAGCCATTTAGGGAACTGATCCAAAATCCAAGAAAAAGCAAACCAAATCTCACAAATAACAGAGAGTAACCATAATGGATATGCATTTGTCACAGGGTTTGTTATTCGATAGTGCAAAAAGATGCAAAGAATAACTAGCCGAAGAACAATGACCATTCTGTATGGATTTATTCTTGATGATGGAATGGATACTTTTCTTGAAAGTGGTTGTCTGGCTTCATCGTTCCTTTACAAAAACAACACATCATATTATATTAATCAATCAATCAAAATCTCATATTTGATGATATGAAAAAAAGTCTAAAACCAAGAAATAAACAGGGAACTTACAGCAATGAATCATCAACTAGCACATCTGTATTGGCATCAATGTCTTGACCTCTTTCAGAAGCAGGGCGACTTGTTGTCATTGGAACTACATTCTTGTCTTGTTTCATTTTCCACCCATCAACTCTCTCTTTCCATGCAACATTTCCTAGGCCTGTTGATCCGTAGTCTCTCACGGGGTCCACAACTCTAACATTGGCTGCAAACAAAACAAAAGAAAACAAAACCCCAATTTTAGGAGTTGGAAAGTTTGTGAATTATGAGTTATTATTAAAGCATAAAAGACATACGGGATTGAGTCGCATATGCAGAATAAGGGAGTGAATGTGTTAGTCTTTCTCCACCAGGTGGAGGTGAGGATACTGAAAGGCGTTGTGGAGAAGCTGCAGACAACTCACCAGAAACCTGAAAAACAAGCAAGACATGAAAAGTATGCTCAAAATTACAGATTTACCACAATGTAGAAATGAAATAGGATGAAAAAGCCAAGTCAAGTGATGTATGTACCTCTTGTCCACTGGTGAGTAAAGGTATGTGGTTATGAGAGACCTCTTTATCATAATTTGGAGTATTAGTATCTTCCCCTCTTCCATATGTCATATGCCAGCTCAGCATTCGCTCTGCAGTCTTCTGCTTCTCACTTTGGGTTTGTGAAGAGAAGGGGAAATTAGTAGTTTCTTCATCAGTGTCAACATCCTCCTCTTTGTCTCCAGCAATAGCAGGGCTTCCTGTGATGAAGCAATTAAAGGTAACTTAGATTTATAATGAGATAGAAATGTAACATGAAAGTGATTAAAGGTAACTTAGATTTATATTGAGAAATCATGAAAAATGTAGATCAAAACCTTTATGTCGTTTGTATCTAGTTTTGCATTGAGGGCAAGATTGATTGCCATCTTTGCGCTCGTATTCATAGCAAGGCCTGCAAACTGGGAATGCACAAACATCACAGGCACCAAAAGGGTCTCCTTTAGCTGTGGTGCCAACATTATCACCACAGATCTGGCAAACCTGACCACCGACATTCTTCATAGACGTCCCCTGCACAATCCGAATGTCAGAACTGTAAATTGTTCTTGTGGATCAGAGTGATAGTGATGGAATCGGTGACATAACTTGATTATAGATCAAACATGAACTAATGTGAAACTGAGATGGTTTTAATAACATGTTTTCAGTGTTCAAATAAAAATCCAGATCAGAAAAATTCGAAGCAATTGACCTAAAAATGTGAAATCAGTAAGTACAGTTCATGATTATTACTTACCCCGGTCTCTCCTTCCGATTCCATCTCCTCTAGCTTAGAAGAGCAATCAATCGATTAAAAATATCAGGAATCAGTCGCAGCCAGCAACCATAACCACGGATCTGTACGTGTGATCACCTGGTAAAGAAAATCAAACTTCAGTTC